TGTGAGGGTCGCCTCGGCGTGGATATTGAAGTCTCCCAGCACAAGAAGCCGTTGAGACTCCAACGCCAGGCTAAAGAAAAGGTGTCTCCACTGAAGCTTTATCATCAAGCTTTGTTTCCACAACAAACCATTTTTTTTCAAAATCCAATCATCACAGGTACAGAAAGTGAGGTGAACTCTTCTGAACAAGGGCACAGACAGAAAAACAAACACTACAGCGATGTTAAACCTTCCCTATGCTATCCGAAACTAAGTATAATTGGCTGGAGTTACACTTTAAAATGTACTTGTTCCAAGTCTACAGAACCTGTTTTGTTCATAATTTGGGGACTGCCTGTACAGAACAAATGTTATCTATGAGTCGCCATCTGCTTACCCACAGAAAATCATAATAACCATATCTAAGAAACTAGAGCTGATGTGGTCTATCCAATGTAAATTTCCAAATCAGCACCATAAATAACCCCAGGAACAAGCCTAAACACCAAGTCACCATATTTGATTGAACTGGCAGCCATAGTAGCTCCTTTTGAAATCACATTTGACAAATTCCTAAGAAAAAAAAGTGGGATGGAGGAGAAAACAGGTAGCGTAACTTTTCTATTTCTTGGTACAATGCTATTTTCATAGATAGTGGTCCTTTCTGAGAAGAGTAATTCTGGGGAGATAAAATTGTCAGAAGAATAGAAAATCAGAGAGTTTGTGCAAGAACAGCTTTTATTGTGTAGTGCTTTTCACACAGAAAAATCTTGCACTTGGTTTTCCCCTATGGATAATTATGAAAGTTTAAATTAAGAATCTTGTAAATTTCCAGACAGATAGAGCATTAGACAGGAGAGAAGTATTCAGATTTGAGAGTCTGCACCGCTAGCAAGATTTCTTCAAAGCCGTTTGAATGAAACTGACGTCTATCATAGATGTTTCTCTAGACAGGAAACCTGCAGTATTTCAGAAGGATGGCTCCAGAGGCTAGGGAGTTATGATGAATGAAAAATAGTTTAAATCTCTTTTAAAAAATCTTTTTTGCTCATCTGGCGCCCAAGTCACAGTAAGTGCAAAAGGTAAACTTTTTTTTTTCGGGTTCATTGGCAGTGAAACATACATCGTCCCCTGGGTAGATGATAGATGTGGAACATACAGTAGCAGAGCCAGACGGACTTGGACATCCAGGATTTTCCATGCATATAGTCAATGTTATCTTCTCCAAGGTAACACAGAATCCACACCAAAAGTCTTTGACCAATTCTACTCTTGTGAGAGAAAACAATAAAAAAGCACTCAGTTGCTCTATTTTATTTCTGTATCATTCTCTCGAACTCCTACAATGCTATACTTTAAACCTGACCAGAGGTGGAAGACTGCAGTCCCCTATGGACTGCATTCAATACATTGCGATGTTTGTTGCTAAATTCGTAAATACAGTAATTACTACATAACGTTACTGTGTACTGAACTACTTTTTCAGTCAATGTGTTGTAAAACATGATGTTTTGGTGCTTAATTTGTAAAATCATAGTGTAATTTGACATTTAACAGGCTTATACTTAATCCCTCCTTATTATCCAACATTTTTGCTTATCTGCCAGTCCGTTTATGTTGGATAAGCGAGATTCTACTTATATAATTTAAAGTATTTCCACAAGGGAAATTCTACAATAGTTTCATCCCCTGGCCTGTTTTGGATTAGGAGTGGAGGTCAATTTTCAAAACTGAATGCACCTTATAGTTTTGGGGGAAAAGGTTGAGTGGACCGAAACATGTTGAAATGGTCCCATATCTTCTACAGGACATGAGTAAAACATTTAGAGGCCCATTATGG